AGATGGTAACACAATATAACACATTAGATGAGTGTGTCTCATATCTTCCAAACATCCGGATACACTTGTCCGGTTGCTTTTAAAATGTCCTGTTTTTGCTCTCCTTTCCAGCTTTGTCTTCAGGTTACTTTAATTGCTGCAAATTGAGCTCAAGTGTAATTCACTCGGTAGCAGGAGAGGAAAGGAGGAAAGGAATCTTGCCCTTCCCAGTTGGCTTAGACAAAAGCAAACTACTACAGCCTCTCCTAGCTTGTGTGATCTTTCTCACCTTTGTCATCTTGATCTTACTCTGATGCTGGCTGGTTGCATGTGTTGCAGTTCTTATCTGTGAAATGTTGGAAGATATGAATTTAGAGTGCAAGTACATCTTAGTCCAGCCCTGCTGTGGGAGATTTGGGGAGTGGACTGAAATCTTTGCTAATCCACAGAGTTCGTGAGATACTAGCCAATCCTTCCCTTTCCATCAGTGCCACAAAACCACCAAGACAAGAAAGCTGGTATTTTTCACAATGCATCATCACAAGAGAGACCTTTGGGATCAGAGGCAATGGGGAAGTGCTCTTGAGATGTTTCACTTTTAGCTTTTCTCTGCCATTTACCCCAGACACGCAAATGGGTTCCTTGTCAGGCAGTCTCACAACTTTGCATGACACAGTGACCCTTTCATGCTACACATTTATAGTACTACGATTTCACTTTAACTGCCATGGTTTCATTTCATAGTATTGAGGGATCTGAAGTTTAGGGAAGGGCATTTGGAATACTCAAACAAAGAACTCTTGTGTCTCCCCAGACTCGAAATCCCAGGTTTCCCTAGGATGCACCTATGGCAAGTTAAAAGTGGGATCATAGTGCTATAAATGTGTAGTGTGGAAGTTTCCTCTGTTTATTACTGATCCTGTTTTATTATGAAGGTTTACTGAAAGCCCAGGGTTGAATATACCACGTAGGATCAAGATTGCCTCAGGTCCAAGGCTTTGCTTACAAAGATTGCTTCATCCTTTGGTTTTAAACCTAAATGTATTCTTGTCGACTGAGCCCTAAGGACCAAAATGTCACACCCAAAACACTTTGCTGCCTGAGGCAAAACAGCAAATAACATCTTTCACTTAACCAAAGTTCACCAAGTCCTATTCATACATAAGGCCAAAAAAACCCACAGTATTACTTCTCTGCAGCCCTAGTAGTTAAATACAATAATAGCAAAGTAAAGAACTAAAAGTGTTTTATGAGACCCCAGATCTGCTGCCTGAGGCAGTTGCCTCACTCGGCCAAGGCTAGTTCTGATGAATACTAATTCAGACTCCACAGAGGTGCTGCATACCGTCCAAATGTTTTACAGATGAAAACTGGAAGACATGGCGCCAAGCAACATCAGACAGTAGTTGAGATGGCAAAAGTTATTAATGAGGAAGAACACACAAGCAAGGAGAGAATGCAATTTGCTTTTGCCCCAGCTTACTGGGAAGGGCAATATTCTTCTCTTTTCTCTCCTCTGTTGTTGTGTGCCTCCAAGTAATTTCTGACTATGGAGACCCTAAGGCAAACCTATCATATAGTTTTCTTGGCAAATTTCTTCAGAGGGGATTTGCAGTTGCCTTCCGCTGAGGCTGAGGGAGTGTGACTTGCTCATGGTCACCTAGTGGCTTTCCATGCCCGAGCCGGGATTTGAACCCTGGTCTCCCAGTGTCCTAATCCAATGCTCAAATCACTACTACGTCATGTTGGCTCTCCTCTACGGGTGCAAAGAAAATTGAATTCAGACTACTTTTGCACTATGAATTCCTTTTGCAGCCACAGAAGTAAGCTGAGGACAAAGGAAGGAATTGGGAGAGCAAAACTGGGACATTTTAAAACCAGCTGTTTAGAACTTGGTAGTTCTCCCAGATTTTCTGGGGATTATGGTTTGTGATATTCATGCATTGTGGGTAGTTAGAGATAGTGGGTTGGTGAAAACTAAGGCTTGGGTGGTGGGGACTGGGAAAAAGCAGATGGGCTGTTATCGCGACCTTGTTGTAGGGAGTTAGAATAGCCTGGTATTGAGAAGATGGCAAAAAGGTGTAGAAGGGAGGATTAGGTAATGAGATTAGGTAATGGGAATAGTAGGAGAGGGAATGTAGTTTGCGCTTTTTGTTAATGGAGTTGGGGATGATGGGGTTTTAATATATCAGCTGTGGTGGATGGGCAGTTTCAGCTTAAACCCCGAATTGGTGACTTTGTGACTCTCAATAAAGTTCTGTTTTGTTTCAACATACCTGACTCATTGATTGCACAGCAGTTCTGAGTTCCTGAATCTGACACCAGCTGAACCAGTCGGAGGACGGAGGATTGACCGGGACTGTTCCTGCCAAATCAGGATAGTTGGAGAGTATATGAACTAAGCCAAGTTTGAGAGGTACCATAAGCACTGTCACAAAGAAACAAATGATGGGAATTATTCTAACATCTCTTTTTGTGTTGCTGAATTGGTTTATAATTTAGAGATTCCCCTTCAAGCCTGAAGCTCTAAAACTGTACTTTAGTTTACAGAACTTGCACACAAATCTGGCCCTGTTCCCCGGGGATACAATGTTTGGAACCAAATTCATGGAAATCTTCCATGTGGAGAAAAATGGAGTGAAATAAATGTTACAATTTAGTTCTCTGCTAATTGTGGCACTAAAGGGATCCTGTCACACCTTTGAGACTGAGCAAAAGTTGTTGTAGCGTAAGCTTCCAGAGACTTGGTCTACTTCCTCAGATCCATTCCACAGAGGCACCTTTCTCACTGTTTCACTGACAGTGCATCTGGTACTAGAGGCACAAAAGCAAATATGTTTCCAATGACACTGAAAGAGCTTGGAAATCCCAATACCACAGCCCAAACGTGCTGGGAATTCTGGGAGCTGTAGTCCCAAAGAGTAACATTCCCAGGCTTTCAACCCACACA